GTTCCTTATATAACGAAAATGATAATATAAATAAAATTATTTTAAAGTAGGATCTTGTGAAATAAGTTTCAATATTTTTTTTTCTTTATAAACTATTGTTCAAATGTAACTAATAAAGTCGATAAACCAAATTTAGAAAGTACACATGTTGTAAAGTTTCTACAAATTCTAATTGATTTTTTCAGTTTACATTACTAGTAATATAATATATACTGTAAATTAATAATCAGTCGTAGCCAAAATCAGGAATTTTTTCAATGGGTAAATTGTATCATGACTTCAATTACCAAATCTTTTTAGAAACAAATGAAAATATATCTTTTTTTAAGTAGTGAAACACGCATTTTTATAAGCCATAACATTTTCTCTCTTTTTTTTTTTTTAATGTATTATTAAAATAAATTCCATTACAAATATAATCAGTAAGTAACTTGTATAATTTCTTACGCTAAAAAAAATCGTTTGGTAAGTATTAATTCTTTTTTTTATTGACAACATAAGGTAAAGCTTGTGTAGGCTAGAAGAATATGCTATACATATTACTTAGCAAGTTTAAAATAGCAGCTTTAATTTTTCAAGAAAATTGTACCGTCAAACAACACGCGTCAATAACATTACACATGTAATTTCATGCATTTTACTAAAAAAAAACCTGTTTAATCTGGAGTTAGATTTATGTGAATAAATATATATATTATTTACATACTATATGTTCTGTTTGTTATCTGTGTGAATTTTTTTTAGTTAAGTTCGTTACACGGAAAATAAAGTACAAAAATTTCATGTTTCACTTCCATAAAAATATATATTCCCATCAGTATCTAATGAGATTTAGTAATCAATGTTATCTGAAAATCTTATTTTCTAAATTCTTTTTTTTTGTTGACAATATCAGGTAAAGCTAGAAGAACGTGCTGTGCATATTACTTAGAGTTGTGCTGTCAAACAACACAAAACCTGTTTAATCTGGAGTTCCGCCCGTGTGAAAAAATTTGATCGACATTTGACGTTACTTATCGGGAATTTTAGGTCAAGGGGGATTATATTGTCAAATTTGCTTTGCCAAAGATTTTTACACTACTTTTTATTTTTTCTTAATAAAAAACTACACCTTTAAGTCATAGTTTTCTACATAGTTTCGTTGATTTTGTTGATTTTAGAAGATCTGCAAGTCGAGAGCAATGTAGGAGCAATTCTTATCGTTACCAAATTTAGTTTTTAATTACGTGATGTTCAAACAAAGTTCGATTTATATTACCCAAAGTAGAAAATAAAGTAAAATTTAATATTATTTAATAGTACTGTATATGTCTTTATTCACTTTTAAGTAAACATTTTATTACAAATCATTATTTTATTTAATTACTTTAATGACACGAAATTTAATTACAAAAAGAAGAAAAATGTTAAATTAAAAAACCTTAAAGATACTTACAAAAACCGATTTAATCAACACGAATAATCTTGGAAGGAAGGTTATCATCATCATCATCAGAATCCAACAACTCGATGACTTCAACTTCCTTCGTATAAGTTCGTTTATTATTTTTTGGTATATAATTGTCTAGATCTATGACCTCAGGTTCATTTTTAATTTTAATTTTATTTTCATCATCAGCGATCTCGATTACATTTTCTGAATGAACAACTGCAGCCCTAATAATGTTATACTTTGACTTTTTGGCAGAAGAACCTCCTTCATTGATCTCAAAAGAATATGGTTTCACTTCTTCCAACGGAACGGAAACACTTGGAGTAAGTTGATTTGGCAGGTCTGATATCGGTATATCACAACCTTTGAGATAAAGCCAAGTAGCGGGACGATAATGAATATGTAATACGGCCACCGGATCCTCACTTTGTTTTTCCATTGTTGCAACGGCTTGTCGATTAAAATATCCTTCACCTTCTTCAAATGCCGTCGTAAATTTAATACCAAGCTTAATTGATTTTGATTCGGGTACTTGTACTTGATTTATTGAAAAATTGGGTATATAAACCGGCTTTTCAGGTATGATCTTTGCCTTATAAAAATAAATTGAAATGGCACCTAATCCACCAAATGGCTTTCTCTGAAGGGGAATCTCTAAATTATCAATTTCAGATGATGGGGGAAGGTTAAATTTGAAATAATATTTCTTACTAAGTGTATTGTTCCAAAAACTATCCTTTTCTCGAGGTGAAGAACTTGATAATTCTCGATATGTGTAGTCATATTCGCCATCAACGAAAACATAAGCCATTAAAGGCGCCCAGATGGATGCATTTGTAGAAGAAAATCTAACAGAATAATTTAAATCTTTAACGGCAACGTACGTTTCAAGGTCACTACATATAAAAAAAATAATTCGATAATGTTTTATAATAAATAAAGAGAGATATATATATGTATATATTGAAGAAAATTTTTATTAGCTAACCTATAATTTTTTTGTCGTGTCACTTCATCCAATGTATAAGATGGTCCAGTTGTAGACTTTGATGGGAGAAAACGAAGAAAAATTATAAGGTTAGCAATTTTACTAACTTAATATTTCAATATAATTCAACTTACAAATTCATTGTTCTTTAGACTATGTTCTTTCAATAATTGACCGTTTAATAGAACTTCAAGTGTAAATCCATTTAATAGCATGATCGAAGTTACATGAAATGGAACCTGACATTTATTTTTTTTTTTTTTTAAAAAAAAATTTTTTTTTTTCCTTCCTTGGGAAAAGAGAGAAAAAAACCAACTTATTTAATAAATAATCACGTGAAAGCTACTATAAAATAAAGAATTCGTAAGTTTATTTTATATGATGCAGATATCAAATTTTAAATGTTTACCTTTGATTACGAATTTGACTTTTTTTTTTGAAAAAGATCATAATATGAAAGAAAGGAAATTGTGAATAAGCAAGTTTGCTTAATTATTTATATCACAGCCTGGAGTTGTATGTATTAGGACAAATTTTTGGCTGTGGTCATATGTTAAAAAACACCTGAACTTGATTCGCTTCTTCATTTACTGATTTTGGTAATTTAAATGATTATTACACATCGGAAATTTTCATGGTACTTTTATATTAGTGCCAATAGGGAAAAATTTTACATTTGATTTATTTCATGTAAAATCTTTTATATTGGAAAAGATCGATAAAAATTTGAGTTGTTTTGGGAGATGATCGATATAAATAAAAATTTGCATTTTCACTAGAACCTTCCATTGAAAGTTTCACTAAAATTATACCGACGATTTTTTTATTTTACTTTGTCAATATATTAATTTTAAGGAATTAACGTTCCATTTATTTTTATATAAATATATTACTTGAAATAAATCAGACAGCATCGTTTTTTATGACTTTTCTTAGGAAATTGAAAGGTGTTATATTGAAATCTCAAGTTCGATTTAGGTTATACAAATGCGATTTGAATTCCATTGGTTTAAGAATACTGTAATGTTTAATAAAAAATAAGCATTTTCTTAAAACAATTCTTTCAAATTCCTCCTTCAAAAAAAAAATTATCATATAATATAAATTTAAGCCCTGTTCGGATCGCTCGGATCGGCAAAATCAATAACCAATAAAATTGTAGCTATAATTGAGCACAATTTTTTATGATCGGATCGGCCATTTTGATTTATTGGCTTTTTAATTACTAAAGTGCAAATGGAAAAGAGATTTTTAATACCGCAATTTTACTTTGCAAATATTTAGCATTAACTTTATCAATTATTATTTTTTATTTAAATGACGAATTCTTTTCATACTTGACAAAAAAGATTTTTACTTTTAAAAAACAATTCAAATTTTATTATAAATTATTATTTTTATTATTACTATTACTATTATTATTATTATTAACATGATTATTCTAAAGATGATTTAAAATGCATCATCTTTAAATCCAGATCTTTCATTTTAAGCTGAAATTCCATACACAATTGCTTTATATCAAATTCTACTTTTTTGTAATATTTCAGCTTTAAGCCACTCAATTGCTAATTCTTTCTTTTTACAAATCATTTTCTTCCTTTCAACCATTTGCCTTTTTTTTCAAACTGTTTATTTTCAAAAGCAAGTCATTTTTTCTAAACTGTTTATCATATATTACCATAAAATTATAACTTCAGCTAATAGATCTTATAAAACTAACTTTCTTATTTTATAGAAAAACTATCTACTAAGAATTCAGGATTGTGATTTTCACATATTTCAAATAAAGTATCAATCTTTTAAACTATTTCCATTTTGCTTATGCTTCTTTTTCTGTTTTATTTTTCTTTCTTAAATATTATTATATTTGATCATCAAGCAGTCTAAATTATTTTTAATCTGTTTTTATGATTTTTTTAGAAAAAATTTTATTAGAAGCTATTTTAGCAAAATTGACTTATTTTTTTTATAGATTTAACTGATAATAACAGTCTGAAAGATTATCAAAATTATTACAATGATTATTACAATTTATACAGACCCTTGCTAAAAGTCTTCAGATGCTATCTTTTAAGGCTTTTTCATATTAATTACATCATGTAATTATATAAAACTGCAGTTATATAATGTTTTAGACATTATTTACTTGAATTAAACCAAATAATACATGTTTAGTTTATTTATTTTGATTTTTAATCAAATAAAATTTTATCTTTCTAAAACAATGAAAATTTCTAAAGAATTAACAACAGAATAATGTAGAGGTATAATTTTTACTATCAATACAATAATAATTATTGAACTATAGCTGTAACTATTAATTATAGAAAATTAATAGTTTTTAACACTTTAAAAAGAATGGATGACACTAGAATTATTAATTCAAAGCTTCATTCTGGTTGATTACCCTTAATTAAAGGTTTGAGATAAAGTCAGCTTAAACGAATTGTCACTAATGATAAAGAAAAAAATTATCGCTTATACACTGCAAAAGTATAACTCTAGCAAAAAGAATTAGTCAAGATGTTTCAACTCACATTATTAATCAAATACTTCATGCAGCTAAGTTAATAATTGTTTTGCTTAACAAAAGCCTTTAAACATATCAGCAAATATTAAGGTACGTTTTGCATAGTTGTTTGAAATACCAAAGTTAGATAAAGGATAATTAATCAAAGATTATATAGAATGACAGATCACCTTTTCATAATTTCAAAAAAGCTATTATAATTGAATATAGCATAAATTTCATGAAAAATAGAATATTTCTTATGTTTTTATCACAGTAAAATATAGTTCTAATTAAATGTTTTGAAATGCTTTTTAAATGAAGCTTAGGATCAATTGTTTTATTATCTGAAACAATTACTAGTATTACACATATCACCATTTTTGCAAGCATATTATACTAACTATAAAATATATATTTTCAAACTGTAATGATATATTTTAAAAGAATAATATCTACTCTCACAAAATGAAATTTGCAAAAAATTTCATGTGTAGAATAGTCTTCATGTATTCTATAGCCTGCAATTGCTAACAACTTTATAATATAATTATATTGTGAAGTTGCTAGTTATTTAGATTAGGTTATGAAGGTAACTTCATAGTCTGCCGGTGTCTTCATAATATAATGGTAACTTCATAATCTATTGGTATCTTCATAATATAATAGTAACTTTATAATCTACCAGTATTTTCATAATATAATGGTGATATCATAATCTAATTTCATAATCTGGTAGTAACTTTATAACCTATTATTTATAATCTGATAGGGACTTCATAACCTATTTATGAGCAGCTCCTTTGCGTTTATAACATTATTTCAATCGTTTCTTATATATTATGGTGATGATTTTATAGTCTAATGGTGGCTAAGAATATTTTAATTTAATGGTGATGTTATAATCTAATGATGTCTGCTTTCTTCTTGTTTCTAATTCGTTTAGATGATAAATTCTATATTGTTGATACTAGCTTTCTGTAGCTGTTTAGATATCTAGTTTTATGTTAAGAATGCTAGCCTCTTACACCTGATTGGATGCTGAATTCTATATTAGAGTGCTTTTCCTTTGCGCCTATTTAGTTACCTTTCTAGATGCTAAAATTGTGTAAAAAAAGGTGATAGGTGACACAGTAAATTTGATGTAAATTTACATCTAAATTTGATTAGTACTATAGCATAATTTCTGATCGATCTTTTGAGTACATAATCTGAAGGATCTAAGTTAGCACTATAGTAGTGTCATAGAAGTGGTGAGGAACTAGTATAGTTCTATTAGTTCACCAGTTCCATATGCTTGTTTAGATGCTAAGTTATTATACCTCTTAGCCTGACCTATTTGATTGCCAGAAGTGTATCATTTACAACTCAACTATTACACTAGTATAAGCAGGGTTGGGATTTGTATTATACTGTACTAGTACAGTATAGTACAATACTAGTACTAGTACTATACTATAACATTAATAAAAATTAGTATATAGTACAATTTAAATCATATAATTTCTTTAAATTTTGATTGGCTAATATTTTATAACCAATTATAGTAAGTACAAT